TGATAAAATACTTCATGTTTAGATCTTCTAGCTGGAAAAGCAACATTCTTAACATGGAGAAGAATTCCTATGAAATGAGGGATAAACACTAGCTCTGCCAAGGAAAGCAATTATTCCCACAGCTTCCTTTTTAAAAAAACTTTCATGCAACAAACTACCCTGAACATGTTTTAAAAAAACAAAAACACAAAACAACTTGATCGGCTTGCAGGCGACAGTAGCCCAATTGTTGCCGTTCAGTAATAGTGTCCATAACAACAAGAACTAGAGTAATGAAAGTGCTCTTTCCAATTATCTGCAATGCTGAAAAGAATTAGATCAGTTAATAGCAAGGAAACAAATACAAAATGATACCTTACACTTTTAGTGTTTAAAAGCTGTTTGGTGGATTTGGCTCAGCTTAGTCTGCTGCCATGTGGGCTTCGACAACTGAGATCTTATCATCCCTTTGGCCGACTAGAGGTGGGAGGTATAATTCTTAGCTGGAGAGCTCTATCGATTTCAGCAGAGCTCTGGCTGTTTATACCAGCCAGGAATTGTGCAGAGTGTTGCTCAGTCCTTGAAGGGAAGGAAGTACCCTGTTCTTCTCTGTCGCAATCCCTGTGGCAGCACAAATGTTACATCATCAGTGTGCCTGGGAAAGTACCTACAGTGAGATGTGATAGGCACCTTTGAGGGTGATGTGGTAAAAAAGACAAAAATGGGGAGGAGACACAGGATAAAGGGGAAGTTTCCTATCACTTCCACGGGGAAAATTTAAAAACCAAAGAAACAAGTTCTTCAGGGTTTTTTTCTCTCCAAAGCACAATAACATACATATGACTAAAATGTCTCCTGTGCTCACTGGCTTTCTTTTTCAGTCACCAGGCAGTCGGCAACCTTGGTAACTATCATGGTAGAAGTAAGTAGAGGACTTTTAGGAATTTTCTTTTAGACATTAAAGGTATGTGGAATATAACCACTTTGGCTCCCTTCCCCCACCCCAAGTTCTTTCCTTCTGTAGGGTACATGTCTGCAGTAGTGGTATGTAGTTTACACTGGATTCGTAGATTCAGGAGTTCTTATGAACACTACAACATTTAAAAAAAATCTAGATTCTCCTTAAATTATGAAAATACCTCTTTCCAAAAATGTCCCTGGGAATGGAAAACTTCAAGGTTGCTGCTGTGAAAGATGGTCTTTGGTTCA